CTAGACTAGGACTAAACTAGGACTAGACTAGGACCAGAATAGGACTAGACTAGGACTAGACTAGGACTAGACTAGGACTAGACTAGGACTAGACTAGGACTAGACTAGGACTAGACTAGGACTAGACTAGGACTAGACTAGGACTAAACTAGGACTAGACTAGGACTAGACTAGGACTAGACTAGGACTAGGACTAGACTAGGACTAGACTAGGACTAGACTAGGACTAGACTAGGACTAGACTAGGACTAGACTAGGACTAGACTAGGACTAGACTAGGACTAGACTAGGACTAGACTAGGACTAGACTAGGACTAGACTAGGACTAGACTACGACTAGACTAGGACTAGACTAGACTAGGACTAGACTAGGACTAGACTAGACTAGGACTAGACTAGACTAGGACTAGACTAGGACTAGACTAGGACTAGACAGGACTAGACTAGGACTAGACTAGGACTAGACTAGGACTAGACTAGGACTAGACTAGGACTAGACTAGGACTAGACTAGGACTAGACTAGGACTCTAGACTAGGACTAGACTAGGACTAGACTAGGACTAGACTAGGACTAGACTAGGACTAGACTAGGACTAGACTAGGACTAGACTAGGACTAGACTAGGACTAGACTAGGACTAGACTAGGACTAGACTAGGACTAGACTAGGACTAGACTAGGACTAGACTAGGACTAGACTAGGACTAGACTAGACTAGGACTAGGACTAGACTACGACTAGACTAGGACTAGACTAGACTAGGACTAAACTAGGACTAGACTAGGACCAGAATAGGACTAGACTAGGACTAGACTAGGACTAGACTAGGACTAAACTAGGACTAGACTAGGACCAGAATAGGACTAGACTAGGACTAGACTAGGACTAGACTAGGACTAGACTAGGACTAGACTAGGACTAGACTAGGACTAGACTAGGACTAGACTAGGACTAGACTAGGACTAGACTAGGACTAGACTAGGACTAGACTAGGACTAGACTAGGACTAGACTAGGACTAGACTAGGACTAGACTAGGACTAGACTAGGACTAGACTAGGACTTGACTAGGACTAAACTAGAACTGGACTAGAACTAGACTAGAACTAGACTAGAACTAGACTAGAACTAGACTAGAACTAGACTAGAACTAGACTAGAGCTAGACTAGAACCAGACTAGAACAAGACTAGAACTAGACTAGAACTAGACTAGAACTAGACTAGAACTAGACTAGAACTAGACTAGAACTAGACTAAAACTAGACTAGAACTAGACTAGAACTAGACTAGAACTAGACTAGAACTAGACTAGAACTAGACTAGAACTAGACTAGAACTAGGCTAGAACTAGACTAGAACTAGACTAGAACTAGACTAGAACGAGACTAGAACTAGACTAGAACTAGACTAGAACTGGACTAGAACTAGACTAGAACTAGAACATAGAAAAATAAAATAATTTGCTAATTTTCTACACAAATACCCAGCTAATAAAGAAATTATCACAATAATTATGAACACATGACACGATAATGAAAATGAGCCATAAAGGACTTTATAATTTATTCATATGTCACAAAATAAATTGCCACCGAATTGTTAATCTCAAAAATCAACAATAAATTTTATTTTGAATACAAAGAGATTACAACAACAGCAACAAAAATGTGATCATCTGTGTTGACATAGAGATCAACACTTAAATGCAAATAAATTTCTAAAAATTCATAATTTTCAGACAAATAAAAAAAGAAATACTGATAACAAATTAGGGTGGCAAAAATTCTATTGTTAATGTATTTACAACTTACATCAGTTATAAACAGGATGTGTAAAAGTACTGCATATGTTAGGAAAACAACAACAGACCAGTGAATAAGAGAAAGAAATACCCTAAATGTACGAATAGTATTTGTTGTATTTGAGCATTTAGTACCAAATGTTTGTTTAACCAAAGTGTAACAAACACAACAACAATTGAAAAGGGAAACGGAATTCTTACCCCCTCATTATTAACAGCTATTAGAAACAGGATCATCAATTAATCCTGTTTCCTTATTATTGTTTGTACATTTCCTTTTACTATTTGCATCGTGTTGAAAGTCGCGAATTTACGCGACAGCAACAGAGTACGTACGAGTGTTTAAACTCTATTCATTTCTAATTTGTAGGGTGTTTTCGTTTGACGCCCCTTTTATGGTTTAATTGTTTGATGACAATTTAACGCTTTGGTTTAAAATTGTTAAAGATTTATTAGCAGTATTTATAACTTGAATTTAATTTCTAACAGATGCGGCAAATAACATTTATCATCTGTATTGTCGTGGCCGGTATCGGTGAGAGGGGCGACAAATTAATTCATCATTATATTTAGAAGGGATTTAAAAATTCAACTTGTTTTATTTGCGCTTATAAAAAAGTAAGGATCTAGTTTTTGGTGAGTTAAATAAATTGTAATTATATTATTGAGATATAACTGTGTTGAAACCGCAGGAACAATTGAATTTTGCAAGAGGAGGTATTTACAGTATGAACAAAGAAAGTGTTTACTAAAAAAAGAATGAACCCTTTGTTTTGTAAAAAGAATTGAACCATTGAATGTTTTGAACAGACTTGTGGCTCTCAGCTTCAACGTGATTAGATCAAATTATTTTCTCAACTCTCTCCCACTTTTTTCAAAAATCTCGTGGAACTATTTATGGTATCATTCTCGATTTGAACTAAGTACTAAAGAAGAATCATTTTTTTTACAAAAAGTTTACCTTGTTGTAGATTTCCATTCCAAATGTCTGACGTACGTCCAAAAAGGTCAATTGTTATACCCTTATAAAAATTTAATGATCAGGATTCGAGAATGATTTGTGAAATTTGATGGATTTCTGAAAATTGAATTCATATTCATCCTCACTTAAAAAGGCTAATTCCCTGATAAAACCTAGTTGCACCCCGAAATATCTGCCAGTTTGTTATGGAATATATTTCACTGTCATTTTAGCCTGAGACCCTGTATTCTAGGACATTGGCAGATAATGTGCTCAACTGTTTCCAGTTCAACTGTTTCCAGTTCAACTGTTTCCAGTTCCAGCATTCTCGCAAATCCTGCAGAAGTCCGGTGTGGTATAGTTCCACTTTCCTAAAAAAGCCCTAAAAGAACAATTCTCCTTTAAAACCCTGTCAGAGTCTTTAAACTATTTAGTTCAATAAGTATTTTTGGTAGCTTTCACATTAAGTTTCGGTCATAAGGTCTTCGAAACTTTGCAATATATTCTACTAATTCAGGACTGATTAATAATGTATCGGAATCTTTCTGAAATCAAACTATAATAGTGACAAATAGGTGATTTGACTTACTGTGCCTAATACATGCATATATCTCTTGTTAGTAGGGTAGAAGGGGCCATAGGGGCACATCTGCCAATAGCGAATAACTTGAAAACCGAGTAATCGATTTTATCGCATTATCGAATTTTGTTTTCGTTTATCGATTATCTATCATCCCTGAAAGTTTGAAAGATTAACTTTATATATGATGGGAGGCAGACGAGATTAATTGTTTTTCAAAGGGTTGTGAAAATATTTCACTGTGTGAATTTTTTGTGCTAACTTTTTTAGTTTTTGTGATAGAAAAAATATATTGATCAGTGATAGAACGTCAATAATAGTGAACAATAAGACATAATAATTTTTTCGATAATATAATCTGAAGCCCGAAAAAAATTGAAACTAAACCCCAGAACTGCCCGTGGGGCACAAAAATATGTAATGCTTGTAATGTAGAACAAAATTTGGTTAAAATATAGAAAAAATCAATAATAATATGTTTTAATTTTTTTTGTTTGTTATGTGAAATAAACAATAAATATCTGGTTTATTATACTTTGTTAAATGAATTAAAATATAAAACAGCGAAATAAGTTTTTATTTTTTAAATTTTTTGGTTGATTTTACTAACGACAAATCTGCCCCATCCTCTTGGCGTATTTACCCCATGGATGGGGCGGTATCGCCGTTTCAGAAAAGTTAAAAAATATGTACATTAGGATGACTTAGGAAAGATTGAAAGGGATAAAACTAAAGCCAACATATCTAAATATCCGAACCAAGAAAAGAATAAAGAATATGTATTGTGGTTTTAATTTGAGGACGCCTCAAAAAAAAGTGGCGTATGGTCCCCCTTCCACTCTACCATATTGGTAAACAGAAAAAATAAGTAAGAATGTACAGTCATACATGGCCGACCTTTTGATACCCTACACTAGTGCATATGTTAAAAGTTTGGATTATTTTTCTAATAATAAAGCATTTTCCCTTTATTGTGAAATATTTTTACAATTTGTCGCCAAAAAAAATAATTTCTGAAAGAGGGTTATATTGGGACATAGGTAAATATGGTCCTATCCGTATAATTTTTGATATAGCGATTTACGATGATATTAAACTTAATTATGCAGAGTTTCAATGTGATATTAAAGTTGAAACGGGAATTTCCATCTTCAAGTCATTTTTTGTAGGGGACTTTGTCCGATTATTACGAAAATCGCCAGTATAATTTAAACTATGAAACAAAGATCTGCTGATTTTGGTAGAGATTCTACAACATTTAATATAATTATAAGCTCAAAAGCCCTATTCGGACGGTACGGTTGTACGATTTGAACCATTTTTAATAGACTTCGTTCTTGGGTCAAAAGAAGAGTATGTGTCAACTTTCATCAAAATTGCGACCTGTAGCATGCGCACAAGCTTAACAAAGAGATACAGACGAACATCGCTTAATCGACTCAGAAAGTGATTCTGAACCGATTGGTATACTTTAATTGTATCTGTGAACTTGATCAAATTAAAACGGGAAACTAGTTGGACCTGTGGTGTTATTAATATCTGAATTTAAAAAACTTTGTTAACTGAATATATTTGCACTTTATTTCAAATTAATTTTGAATACAATTATAACAGTTGGACGAATAATACCCTTTTTGTAATGTTTAGTTATAATGAAGTTCTACTGGCATTTCATTTAGTTTAAAATATAAAAAAAAACATTCACAAAATTTAAGTCTTGTAAGACGGTCCTCAGAATCAGTTAACGTTTATTTGAATAAACTTCCTTTAATGTCAAAATTGCTCTGTTTATTACCGGAATTACCACCACCATGTATACCATTCTGTAATTATAGATTTAATTTATTTTAAAATATTTATTAAATCTCCATCTAACTTACATTGCCGGGATTACAGGAGACGGCAGCAATAATGCAGGCCACAACAAATGCTATTTGAAATACTTTCATGTTTGCTTAACTGTAAAATATTGACTGATATGTCCGAGGCTGTCAATCTGGATTTATATAGCGGATTGTTAACGCTATTAGTTAAGAGGAAATTTATTATTGGATTTACTTATATTGTTATTAATATTTTATTATCATTTTGGTTTAGTGGTTTAGGAATTATTTATAATAAGAAGAGTTCCTTTGAAAAATATATTTAATTTTCTTGTACCAGTAATAAGTTTCTTCTTGATTTACTTTCTTTCCATTGAAAAAATATTATTTATAATGTTTATTTCTTCAAAATATTTTACAAATTGTATTACATGGTTTCTAGAAAATATTTAATGTTTTTCTAGATATTTTGAGAAATATAAAGTATTATATAGGAATTAAATCATGCAAATAATTGCCTAACATTTGTTGAAGTGGTTCCAAACTGACAAATCCGCGAATTTAGTAATGGCTCCTAATATGACCAACTGTTTACTATTTCAATTCCACCTCTACTTTCAATATTCGACACCGTAAGTATCGGCCGCAAATTTGTCTTCCTTATATTCAACATTCTCATGTATAGTTCCAACACTAAAGTCATTATATCGATGGTCAGATAAAGGACAGACTTTCAAATTTGTAATAAAACTGGTCTGCCTATTACTCCACAGCATTATTTCAAAAACCTTTATTCTATTGGAGGCAGACTCTCCACTAAGTATGAAACTGAAAAGATGTTAAGCTCTGGTGTTGACGTTACCAGCAGCATTAATGTGCGAGTTTGCCTCAAAAGAGATTACACTAGGTATTCCAGACAGTTACCATTTTACGTTATATAGATGTATACTTCTAGAGAGGAGTACTGTACTATCTTCAGAGTAAAAAAGATTAACTTAACTTCATCGATGATGTTGGAGGCTTCTCACCCGTCAACCGCGTCATCATATGGATAAGTCATCTATTAAGCATAACATGTGGACGAAAAAGATTTCAATTTCTAGAAATAAGTATTTTTTCAATAAAAGGAAAAGAAGTCAAGAAAAAACACTTGATGCAAGTAATTGCATCATGATAATTAAATGCTTAAAAAAGAAATATTTTTGTCAAATTAATGAATAACTGCTTAACCACCAATAAAAATTAAATATTAGTACTCAGCGGTTTTTATTGTTAACTTCTTCAACAACTCAAACATATAATAACTCCAATAATAAATTTACTGTGAAATCTAAGCGCTTTAAATCCGCTATATAAGTCCAAACTGACAGCCACTGAGATATCATTCAATCGTTTACAGTTAAACAAACATGAAAGTATTTCAAGTAGCATTTATCGTGGCTTGCATTATTGCTGCCGTTTCCTCTAGCCCAGGACATGTAAGTTAAGATTTACTAAATTATTTTTCTAAAAATTTAAATTAATTTATTTTCATAATTATAGAACGATATAAATGGAAATGACAACCAAGGAAATAAGCAGAGCAATTTTGACCTTAAAGGAAGTTTATTCAAATAAACGTTAGATGATGCTAAGTAACATTTTATAAGATTTCCATTTTGTTAATCTTATAATCTGTTTTAATCTAGCAGTTTTTTTTACAAAAAAAAAAAAAAAATGTACCAAATATTCGAAAAATGGGGTTTATTCCTCTAACTGGATTATACTCAAAGATAATATGAAATAAAGTGCAAAGATATTCAATTAACAAAGTTTTTTAATTCATAATATTACTAACTCTACGGGACCACTACGAAACTTAGTATTGTCTCGTCGGTAATCTATTTTCCCCAACTGTTTTGATGTCTTAGAATCATATTTACTCCACAAGGTTTGGCTAAAGATGGATTAGACAGTAAATGCAGTTGATAAGCCATTTTGACCTAATTAAGTTGAGAGTCGCAAGTCGGTCCACTTGAATAAAATTGGTTGATGTTTAAAATGAAATTCTCAGACTAAGGTTTAAACTTACGTCTGGAAATCTGTACAAGAGTATGGAAGACAAGCACATAAAAGAGAATTCCTTAGTTTTTACCCGTCAATTTGAATGTTTACTACTACTTTCCATTCATTTCCAGTTCAAATACATCAGCGTTTGTTAACAGCAAAAGTCATGCCAGTAGTACCCGGTCCGTGGACTTAAAATCTCCATGGACCTTACACAGCAACACTGAAAAAAGCTATGGTAACTCAAATACTACCTGGACTATTAAAATGCGACCGAGTTTAAAAGAAACAAAATACCATTTGGGTTCCTAATACTATTTTTATCAGATCATGCTTCCTGTCTTGATAATGTACCAAACTAATCAGGTCCAGTGGTTCGAATCTCCTGAAAATTTTTCATTAAATGCCAAATCAGTCAGAATTGATGACTTGATACAAGACGTTTCCTTCTCTCAGATTTATGAAGGCTCTAGGTTCGAAAAAGAAACCAAAGCACTTCAACAAGCCATAGCAGGAAGCTAACATTCCGAAAATAGACCATATAAATCAGCACTGAAGTCTATGAAAAGATACTTCAATGATTTTCCCAATCTTCATTTGAGCAGTAACTTACAGAAATTTTACTTTACTATTCATATCCCAGGTTTCTAGGGTAAAGAATCCTTTACTCAATGCAATGGTTCCAGGGTTACAAATATTTTATTATTGGCTTAGATGAACTATCGTTAAGGTCGGAGACTCTGGAGAATTCACCAAAGGGGATAATCGTAGTGCTAAATATGTACTCACTGAGAACTATTAGTAAGATAGAGGGGACAGTATCCTATAAATTTTGTATGATCGTAATAGACCATATTAATAATAAAACCTTGTTTAAAGATTTCCGTTCCAAATGTTTGACGTACGTCCAAAAAGGTCCATTATTATATCCTTATAGAAATTGAATGATCAGGATTCGAGAACGATTTCTGAAATTTGATGGATTTCTGAAAATTGAATTCATATTCCTCCTCACTTAAAAAGGCTAATTCCCTGATAAAACCTAGTTGCACCCCGAAATATCTGCCAGTTTATTATGGAATATATATCACAGTCATTTTAGCCTGAGACCCTGTATTCTAGGACATTGACAGATAATATGCTCAACTGTTTCCAGTTCTTCAGCATTCTCTCATATCCTGCAAATTTTCCGAAAAAGCCCTAAAGAACAATTCTCCTTTAAAACCCTCTCAGAGTCTTTAAACTATTTAGTTCAATAAGTATTTTTGGTAGCTTTCACATTAAGTTTCGGTCATAAGGTCTTCGAAACTTTACAGTCTATTCTACTATTCCAGGACTGATTAATAATGTATCGGCATCTTTCCGAAATCAAACTATAATAGTGACAAATAGGTGATTTGACTTACTGTGCCTTATATATGCATATATCTCTTGTTACTATCGAAACTTTACAGTCTATTCTACTATTCCAGGACTGATTAATAATGTATCGGAATATTTCCGAAATCAAACTATAATAGTGACAAATAGGTGATTTGACTTACTGTGCCTTATATATGCATATATCTCTTGTTACTATCATATTGGTAAAAAGAAAAAATAAGTAAGAATGTGAATATGTGAATATGTTAGTTAATATGTTAAAAGTTTGGATTATCTTTCTAATAATAAAACATTTTTCCTTTATTGCAAAATATTTTTACAATTTGTCGCCAAAAAAAAAAAAAATGATTTACTGAAAGAGGGGTTATATGGGGGCATAGGTAAATATGCAGGAGACAGGTAAATATCCGGACATATGTAAATATCCGTATAAATTTTGGTATAGCGATTTACGATGACATTAAACTTATTTATGCAGAATTTCAATGTGATATTAAAGTTGAAACAAGAATTTCCATCTTCAAGTCATTTTCTGTAGGGGACTTTGTATGGCCCGATTATTACGAAAATCGCCAGTATCATTTAAATTATGAAACAAAGATCTGCTGATTTTGATAGAGATTCTACAACATTTAATATAATTATAAGCTCAAAAGCCCTATTCGGACGGTACGGTTGTATGGGGGCTAGGACCGATTCGAACCATTTTAATAGACTTCGTTCTTGTATCAAAAGAAGAGTATGTGTCAAAATTGTCAAAATTGCGACCTGTAGCATGTGCACAAGGTATACAAGAAGATACAGACGGGCATAGCTTAATCGACTCAGAAAGTGATTCTGAGCCGATTGGTATACTTTAATTATATCTGTGAACTTTATCAAATTACAACGGAAAACTAGCTGGACCTGTGGTGTTATTAATATCTGAATTAAAAAAACGTTGTTAACTGAATATATTTGCACTTTATTTCATATTAATTTTGAATACAATTATTACAGTTGGAGGAATAAGACCCAATTTTGTAATGTTTCGTTATAATGAAGCTCTACTGGCATTTCATTTAGTTTAAAATATAAGAAAACACATTAACAAAATTTAAGTCTTGTAAGACGGTCCTCAGAATCAGTTAACGTTTATTTGAATAAACTTCCTTTAATGTCAAAATTGCTCTGTTTATTACCGGAATTACCACCACCATGTATACCATTCTATAATTATAGATTTAATTTATTTTAAAATATTTATTAAATCTCCATCTAACTTACATTGCCGGGATTACAGGAGACGGCAGCAATAATGCAGGCCACAACAAATGCTATTTGAAATACTTTCATGTTTGCTTAACTGTAAAATATTGACTGATATGTCCGAGGCTGTCAATCTGGATTTATATAGCGGATTGTTAACGCTATTAGTTAAGAGGAAATTTATTATTGGATTTACATATATTATTATTAGTATTTTATTTTCATTTTGGTTTAGTGGTTTAGGAATTATTTATAATAAGAAGAGTTCCTTTGAAAAATATATTTAATTTTCTTGTACCAGTAATAAGGTTCTTCTTGATTTACTTTCTTTCCATTGAAAAAATATTATTTGTAATGTTTATTTCTTCAAAATATTTTACAAATTGTATTACATGGTTTCTAGAAAATATTTAATGTTTTTCTAGATATTCTGAGGAATATAAAGTTTTATATATGAATTAAAACATGCAAATAATTGCCTAACATTTGTTGAAGTGGTTCCAAACTGACAAATAATTAACTAAATTTAGTAATGGCTCCTAATATGACCAACTGTTTACTATTTCAATGCCACCTCTACTTTCAGTGTTCGACACCGTTAGTATCTGCCCCAAATTCGTCTTCCTTCTATTCAACATTCTCATATATAGTTCCAACAATAAAGTCATTATATCGATGGTTAGATAAAGGACAGACTTTCAAATTTGTAATAAAACTGGTCTGCTTAGTACTCCACAGCATTATTTCAAAAACCTTTATTCTATTGGAAGCAGACTCCCCCTAAGTATGAAACTGAAAAGATGTTAAGCTCTGGTGTTGACATTACCAGCAGCATTAATGTGCGAGTTTGCCTCAAAAGAGATTACCCTAGGTATTCCAGACAGTTACCATTTTACGTTATATAGATGTATACCACCATCATTGGGTTCCATAGCGTTCATTACTCTATCTTCATCGGTGTAATCCAATAAAACGATTATATGAAAAGTGCATATAATTCTTCTTATTTAATCCGAAATTTCGATCCTGATGGATGTATGTATGTTCCCTGGACAACATAGAGCGGTCCCTCCATGTGACCTAGAGAGGAGCACTGTACTTCAGAGTAAAGAAGATTAACTAAACTTCATCGATGATGTTGGAGGCTTCTGATCCGTCAATCGCGTCATCTTATGGGCTGTGGTAATCTAATATAATAAGCTTACCCTGTGGATGAAAAAGACCACCATCACAAAAGGCCTTTAAGAAAGGTGTTCACGTACGACTTCTTCATGCTCTGAATATTGAGACGATAGACGGATCAGATGATTGTGAACATCATCGATGAAGAGTTGAAGAATGCACTGCATTACTCTTTCGAGTGACCCCGAAAGGAGCTAATCATTATCCAAGGATCATAAACCAATCAGGATATAGTCCGCGATCTGAACTGAAGGTCTAGAAGCTCTTTATCGCTAGAATAGCTGGTACATGTCAAAAAAAACCGTTTCCTGTCTTGATAATGTACCAAACTAATCAGGTCCAGTGGTTCGATCCTCCTGAAAATTTATCATTCAATGCCAAACCAGTTAGAATTGATGACCTGATGCAATAAGTTTCGTTCTCTCAGATTTATGAAGGCTCTATTTTATTATTTGCTTAGATGAACTATCGTTAAGGTCGAAGACTGTAGATAATCCACCATAGAGAATGATCGTAGTGTTGAATATGTACTCACTGAGAACTATTAGAGAGTCAAAGGGTACAGTCTCCTATCAATTTTGTATGATCGTTTCAGCATCTAGCAAAAAAAAAGACAATAGCCAATCGGAAAGAAAGCATGAACATAAACGATGTCGTTGATCCTGCGACATCGATGATGTTAACCGCTTCATCGTACCTTACTCTCATCTTATTGTCGTTAGGATCGACGACTTCGTTTATGCTTTCTTTCCGATTATATGATTGGCTATTGTCTTTTTTTGCTAGATGCGGAAACGATCATACAAAATTGATAGGATACTGTCCACTTTGTCTCTCCAATAGTTCTCAGTGAGTACATATTTAGCACTACGATCGTCCTCTTTGGTGAATTCTCCAGAGTCTTCGACCTTAACGTTAGTTCATCTAAGCAAATAATAAAATATTTGTAACCCTGGAACCATTGCATTGAGTAATGGATTTTTTAAGAACTTTTCAGAACAATCCTTAAAACCCTTTGCTTCACCAAATCCCATTTCGACTGGGATGTGAATAGTGAAGTAAAATTTCTGTTACTGCTCAAATGAAGATTGGGAAAATCATTGAATTAACTTTTCATAGACTTCAGTGCTGATTTATGTTGTCTATTTTCGGGATGTTAGCTTCCTGCTATGGCTTCTTGAGGTGCTCTGGTTTCTTTTTCGAACCTAGAGCCTTCATTAATCGAAACGTCTTGTATCAAGTCATTAATTCTGACTGATTTGGCATTTAATGATAAATTTTCAGGAGAATCGAACCACTGGACCTGATTAGTTTGGTACATTATCAAGACAGGAAGCATGATCTGATAAAAATAGTATTAGGAACCCAAATGGTATTTTGTTTCTTTTAAAAGTAGTATTCGAGTTACCACAGTTCTTTGTCAGTATTGTTGTGGTAAGGTCCATGGAGATTTTAAGTCCACGGACCGGATACTACTGCCATGACTTTTGCTGGTAACAAACGCTGATGTATTTGAACTGGAAATGAAGGGAAAGTTGTAGTAAACATTCAAATTGACGGATAAAAACTAGGGAATTCTCTTTTATGTGCTTAGCCTCCATACTCTTGTACAGATTTCCAGACGTAAGTTTAAACCATAGTCTGAGAATTTTATTTTAAACATCGACCAATTTTATTCAAGTGGACAGACTTGGGACTCTCAACTTAATTAGGTCAAAATGGCTTATCAACTGCATTTACTCTCTGATCCATCTTTAGCCAAACCTTGTGGAGTAAATATGATTCTAAGGCATCAAAACAGTTGGAGAAAATAAATTACCGATGAGACAATACTAAGTTTCGTAGTGGTCCCGTAGTGTTAGTAATATTATGAATTAAAAAACTTTGTTAATTGAATATCTTTGCACTTTATTTCATATTATTTTTGAGTATAATCCAGTTAGAGGAATAAACCCTATTTTTCCAATATTTGCTTAATTTTTTTTTTGAAAAAAAAAACTGCTAGATTAAAACAGATTATAACATTAAGAAAATAGAAATCTTATAAAATGTTACTTAGCATCATCTAACGTTTATTTGAATAAACTTCCTTTAAGGTCAAAATTGCTCTGCTTATTTCCCTGATTGCCATTTCCATTTATATCGTTCTATAATTATGAAAATAAATTAATTTAAATTTTTAGAAAAATAATTTAGTAAATCTTAACTTACATGGCCTGGGCTAGAGGAAACGGCAGCAATAATGCAAGCCACGATAAATACTACTTGAAATACTTTCATCTTTGCTTAACTGTAAACGATTGAATGATATCTCAGTGGCTGTCAGTTTGGACTTATATAGCGGATTTCAAAAGCTAAAATTTAAGAGTAAATTTATTATTGGAGTTATTATATGTTTGAGTTTATGAAGAAGTTAACACTAAATACCGCCGAGTACTAATATTTCATTTTTATTGGAGGTTAAGCAGTTATTCGTTAATTTGACAAAAATATTTCTTTTTTTAAACATTTAATCATCATGATTCAATTATTTTACTTGTATCAACGATGTGTTTTTTCTTGACTTCTTTTCCTTTTATTGAAAAAATACTTATTTCTAGAAATTACTTCCTCAAAATATTTTGACACGTTTTTTTTTTAATTTTTTGCCATCTACCTGTTTTTCTAGCCATGAAGAACTTAGAGACCTTGAGTTGTAGTCCGCGATCCTGATTGGTTTATGGTCCTTGGATAATGATTAGCTAATTTCGGGGTCACTCGAAAGAGTAATGCAGTGCATTCTCCAAGCCTTCACCGCTGATGTTCGCAATCATCTGATCCGTCTACCGTCTCAATATTCAGTGCGTGAGGGAGTCGTACCGCTTTACGTGTACACATTCCTTGAAGGCCTTTTGTCACACAGGTTAAGCTTATTAAATGACTTATCCATAAGATGACGCGGTTGACGGGTGAGAAGCCTCCAACATCATCAATGAAGTTTAGTTAATCTTTTTTACTCTGAAGATAGTACAGTGCTCTTCTCTAGGTCACGTGGAGGGACCTCTCTATGTTGTCCAGGGAACATACAGAATCGAAATTTCGGACTAAATGAGAAGAATTATATGCACTTTTCATATCATCGTTTTATTGGATTACACCGATAAAGAAAGAGTAATGAACGCTCTGGAACCCAATGATGGTGGTATACATCTATATAACGTAAAATGGTAACTGTCTGGAATCCCTAGGGTAAGCTCTTTTAAAGCAAACTCGCACATTAATGCTGCTAGTAACGTCAACACCAGAGCTTAACACCTTTTCAGTTTCATACTTAATGAGAGAGTCTGCCTCCAATAAAATAGAGGTTTTTAAAATAATGCTGTGGAGTAATAAGCAGACCAGTTTTATTACAAATTTGAAAGTCTGTCTTTTATCTGACCATCGATATAATGACTTTATTGCTTTAACTATATATAAGAACGTTGAATAGAAGTAAGACGAATTTGGGGCCGATACTTACGGTGTCGAACACTGAAACTAGAGGTGGCATTGAAATAGTAAACAGTTGCTCATATTAGGAGCCATTACTAAATTCGGCGGATTTGTCAGTTTGGAACCACTTCAAGAAATGTTAGGCAATTATTTGCATGTTTTAATTCATATATAATACTTTATATTCCTCAAAATATCTAGAAAAACATTAAGTATTTTCTAGAAACCATGTAATACAATTTATAAAAATATTTTAAAGAAATAAACATTATAAATAATATTTTTTCAATGGAAAGAAAGTAAATCAAGAAGAAACTTATTACTGGTACAAGAAAATTAAATATATATTTAAAAGGAACTCTTCTTATTATAAATAATTCCTAAACCACTAAACCAAAATGAATATAAAATATGTATTAATAATATAAGTAAGTCCAATAATAAATTTCCTCTTAACTAATAGCGTTAACAATCCGTTATATAAATCCAGATTGACAGTCTCGGATATATCAGTCAATCTTTTGCAGTTAAGCAAACATGAAAGTATTTCAAATAGCATTTGTTGTGGCCTGCATTATTGCAGCCGTCTCCTGTAATCCCGGCAATGTAAGTTAGATGGAGATTTAATAAATATTTTAAAATAAATTAAATCTATAATTATAGAATGGTATACATGGTGGTGGTAATTCCGGTAATAAACAGAGCAATTTTGACATTAAAGGAAGTTTATTCAAATAAACGTTAACTGATTCTGAGGACCGTCTTACAAGACTTAAATTTTGTGAATGTTTTTTTATATTTTAAACTAATGCCCCTATTATGGTTTACAACTCAACTCTTCTTTAGTTGAAATTTTGCTCTTTGGTATTATCGATAACAACTTAAAATTTAAAGTTGAAATTTATTACAACTTTTTTAAAAAAAAATTACAACTTATCAAAAGCAGTTGTAACAAATTACAACTCAATTGTTTAGAATAAATTTTTAAAATAAAACAAGGTAAAGTTTTTTTTTTAAATTTTCTTAAATTTCATTAATCACTAATTTTAAGCGAATTTACAATAAAAAGATGTTCAATACATTTGTCATTTACGAAATACAGAAATTCATAAACTTTTCACTTAATTTTATGACAAAAAAGCACTTTTTAGGTTGGCAACATCAACACAATTACAACTGAAATTGGTTGTAATTCATAATACCAAATATAAGTTGAGTTGTTCTAAAGTTGAGTTGTTTCAATTTCAACTCAACTGAGTTGAGTTGTAAACCATAATAGGGGCATAAATGAAATGCAGTAGAACTTCTAAACATTACAAAATGGGTTTTATTCCTCTAACTGTTATAATTGTATTCAAAATTAATTTAAAATAAAGTGCAAATATATTCAGTTAACAATTTTTTTTTAAATTCATATGTTAATAACACCACAGGTCCAGCTAGTTTCCCGTTGTAATTTGATAAAGTTCACAGGTATAATTAAAATATACCAATCGGCTCAGAATCACTTTCTGAGTCGATTAAGCTATGCCCGTCTGTATCTCCTTGTAAACCTTGTGCACATGCTACAGGTCGCAATTTTGATGACACATACTCTTCTTTTGACCCAAGAAAATGATACTGGCGAATTTCGTAATAATCGGGCCATACAAAGTTCCCTACGGAAAATGACTTAAAGATGGAAATTCTAATTTTAACTCTAATATCACATTGAAATTCTGCATAAATAAGTTTAATGTCATTGTAAATCGCTATACCAAAATTTATACGGATAGGACCATATTTATCTATGCCTCCATATAACCCCTCTTTCAGAAAATCATTTTTTTGGCGACAAATAAGGCACAGTGAGTCAAATCACCTATTTGTCACTATTATAGTTTGATTTCGGAAAGATTCCGATACATTATTAATCAGTCCTGGAATAGTAGAATAGATTGTGAAGTTTCGAAGACCTTATGACCGAAACTTAATGTGAAAGCTACCAAAAATACTTATTGAACTAAATAGTTTAAAGACTCTGACAGGGTTTTAAAGTAGAATTGTTCTATTAGGGCTTTTTTCGGAACTTCTGCAGGATATGAAAGAATGCTGAAGAACTGGAAACAGTTGAGCACATTAACTGGCAATGTCCTAGAATACAGGGTCTCGGGCTCAAATGACTGAGAAATATATTCCATAACAAACTGGCAGCTATTTCGGGGTGCAACTAGGTTTTATCAGAGAATTAGCCTTTTTAAGTGAGGAGGAATATGAATTAAATTTTCAGAAATCCATCAGATTTCAGAAATCATTCTCGAATCCTGATCATTCAATTTCTATAAGAATAAAACAATGGACCTTTTTGGACGTATGTCAAACATTTGGATCGGAAATCTTTAAACAAGGTTTTATTATTAATATGGTCTATTACGATCATACAAAATGTATAGGATACTGTCCCCATTGTCTCTCTAATAGTTCTCAGTGAGTACATATTTAGCACTATGATCATCCTCTTTGGTGAATTCTCCAGAGTCTTCGACCTTAACGATAGTTCATCTAAGCCAATAATAAAATATTTGTAACCCTGGAACCATTGCATTGAGTAAAGTTATTTACCCTAAAAACCCTAGGATACGAATTGTAAAATAAAATTACTGTAAGTTACTGCTCAAATGAAGATTGGGAAAATCATTGAAGTTTATTTTCATAGACTTCAGTGCTGATTTATGTTGTCTATTTTCGGGATGTTAGCTTTCTGCTATGGCTTGTTGAGGTGCTTTAGGTTACTTTTTCTTCATATCTGAGAGAACGAAACGTCATGTATCAAGTCATCAATTCTGAGTGGTTTGGCAATGAATGACAAATTTTCAGGGGGATCGAACCACTGGACCTGATAAGTTTGGTACATTACCAAAACAGGAAGCATGATCTGATAAAAATAGTATTAGGAACCCAAATGGTATTTTGTTTCTTTTAAACTCGGTCGCATTTTAATAGTCCAAGTAGTATTTGAGTTACCACAGTTCTTTGTCAGTGTTGCTGTGGTAAGGTCCATGGAGATTTTAAGTCTACTGACCGGGTACTACTGGCATGACTTTTGCTGGTAACAAACGCTGATGTATTTGAACAGGAAATGAAGGGAAAGTATTAGTAAACACCCAAATTGATGGGTCAAAACTAGAGAATTCTCTTTTATGTGCTCCATACTCTTGTACAGATTTCCAGACGTAAGTTTAAACCTTAGTCTGAGAATTTCATTTTAAACATTAACCATGAACCAATTTTATTCAAGTGGACCGACTTGCTACTCTCAACTTAATTAGGTCAAAATGGCTTATCAACTGCATTTACTCTCTGATCCATCTTTAGCCAAACCTTGTAGAATAAATAGGATTCTAAGGCATCAAAACAGTTGGTGAAAATAAATTGCCGACGAGACAATACTAAGTTTCGTAGTGGTCCCGTAGTGTTAGTAATATTATGATTTAAATAAACTTTGTTAACTGAATATTTTTGCACTTTATTTCATATTATTTTTTAAAACAATCCAGTTAGAGAAATAAGACCCATTTTTCAATATTTAGTTAAATTTTTGCTAAAAAAAATTCTGCTAGATTAAAACAGAATAGAACAATAAGTAAATGGAAATCTTATAAAATGTTACTCAGCATCATGTAACGTTTATTAGAATAAACTTCCTTTAAGGTCAAAATTGCTCTGCTTATTTCCTTGATTGCTATTTCCCTTTATAGTGTTCTATAATTATGAAAATAAAATAATTTAATTTATATGAAAATAATTCAGAAAAACTCTAGTTAACTTACATGGCCAGGATTGCAGGAAACGGCAGCAATAATGCAAGCCACGATAAATGCTACTTGAAATACTTTCATGTTTGTTTAACTTTAAACGATTGAATGATATCTCAGTGGCTTTCTGTTCGGACTTATATAGCAGATTTAAAACGTTTAGATTTCAGAGTAAATTTATTATTGGAGTTATGTGTTTGAGTTGTTTTAGAAATTAACAATAAAAACCGCTGAGTACTAATATATCATTTTTATTGGTGGTTACACAGTTATTTGTTACAAGTAAATTTGACAAATATATTTCTATTTTATATATTTAATCATCGTGTAGAGACCTCATTGTGGTCTATATATCTATAAATGCTTTAAAATTTTAATATGAACTGAGATTTTTTCAGATTACAGGACCTATCTTTAACTGCTTTTCTAGCGATGAAGAGCTTTTGGACCTTCAGTTGTAGTCCGCGATTTTGATTGGTTTATGGTCCTTGGATAATGATTAGCTCTTTTCGGTGTCACTAGGAAGAGCAATGCAGTGCATTCTCCAACTCTTTATCAATGATGTTCACATTCATCTGATCCCACAAACATCTCAATATTCCGTACATGAAGAAGTCGTAGAGCTTTACGTGAACAACTGCCTTGATGGCCTTTTGTCACGGTGATCTTCTTCATTCACGGGGTAAGCTTATTAGATGACTCACCACCGCCTATTTGTGTTTCTAACACGCCGGTGGCCTGTGTTGAGCAAGAGATGTAATCGGTAGATCGAAATACGACTCCATCAAATATGATGAGGAAAGCGCAGTGTTAAATCTGGTATGAATAGAGTAAACTGTGAACATACTAGCACAAGGAAGAAAATTTCTATGGTATCCTTGTATAAGGTATCTTACATGCATCACCATTCAACCTAGCACCCTAAATCCATCCCTTATAATATGCACTTGCCAACATCTTATTTCCATAGCTAAGTCCCACATCTCACTCCTGTTTAGAGTATCGGCAACAGTACCGAACTTTTCCAGAATTATAGAATTTATCGTCTATCAGTCTCGAATTTGGTTTTAAACCACATGGACAGTACAAGGTCCAAAACTCTGCCCTGTGGACTAGCGGTTCCCGTGATACCAGATAATAAGGCTACCTGGTTCGACCCCTGGTCACATCATTCCAAGAAAAGGCCGACGATACATCTGACTCCACCAGTTTTTTGCAATAACAACAAGATGTGGGTAGATCATCAAGGTAACATGCGCCGGGCGGAATATTCTTTACAAAGGGGAAGTCCACCATCTAATTGTCATTAGGGTTGACGAATTCAATGTGCTTCCTTCCGATTGTATGGCTTGACATGGTATCACTTGTATAAAGTATCTTACATGCATCACCATTCAACCCAGCACCCTAAATCCATTCCTTACCATAATCACTTGCCGCCAACTTATTTCTATTGATAAGTCCTACAATCACTCCTGTTTGGGGTATCGGTAACAGCACCGAGCTTATCCAGAATTATAGAATTTACCGTGTATCAGTCTTTTAAGCAACATTATCTTCCCGCGAATTTGGTTTTAAACCACATGCACCCCGAAGAGACCTCTCCAATAACCGGAACAGTGCAAAGTCCAAAACTCTGCCTTGTGGACTAGCGGTTCCCGTGATACCAGGTAATAAGACTCCCTAGTTCGACCCCTGATCATATCATTTCAAGGAAAGGCCGAGGATACAATTGATTGCACCAGTTCTTTGCAATAACAGCAAGATGAGGGTATATCATCAAGGTAACATGCGCCGGGCAGAATATTCTTTAAAAAAAGGAAGTCCACCAGGAAAAGAGGAAGTCGTTAAGATTGACGACTTCAATGTGTTTTCTTCCAATTGTATGGCTTGACATTGACATAGACTAGGGAAACGATCTGAATGAAGACCTTCTTCCCGTGAATTTCGTTTTAAACCACATGAACCCCGAAGAGACCTCTCCGATAACCGGGACAATACCAAGTCCATAACTCAGCCCTGTGGACTAGCAGTTCTCGTGATATCAGATAAAACCAGACAACCATTAGAAGTTGACGACTTCAATGTTCTTTCTACGGATTGTATAACTTGACATTGACAAAGACGTGGGAAACAATCCTAAATCATTCTAATCGGTTTTTGGCAATTGATTTCGGTATATAAGACATCTTATTAACAGACATGATCTTTGATACCGTCCCCAACTACACACAGTTAACCCAACGATATTTGATCTAATCAAATGATATAATTTGTTTAACCCTTTGAGTATAAAAATCTTGCTGAATTTTCCTGAAGACCTCCAAAAACCGTTTGCCGTTTACCAAATCCAATTTAGTTGGAGATAAAAAAGTTCACTAAAACTTTTGCCTTTGGAAAACTCATTGTAGTATATATGTTGTTATATGAAGTTTGACTTGTTTGGAACTCAAAGTTACATTCTCAGGACAGAAGGATTCCATCACTGAACTTAATTATTCAGAAGGAAACATTAACATTTAAGAATTTGCTGAATTCGGATGGATATACATATTTAAGCGCGGACCAGCAAATCCAACTATCATTCCTAATAAGGGGAAAATGATTGGGAGAACGTTTGAGAGACAGACTAACATTCCCTTAGAAAATTTTACATACATATAAACATACGATCTATTCTTAAACCCTTTTCATTAAATCATTAGCTAATTAAATATTCCACAATTTGGTAGCAGATGTAATCAAGTGGCATCATTCTGTTTTTATCGAAAATTGAATTATAATCAAAGTGATGAAAAAGAAAAATAAATGAACTAATAATACCAAATGAACCTTCACACTTGCAAACAACAACAACAATATTAGTATTATTAATAATAATTATAATTATAACAACAATAATAATGACAACAACTACTACGTACAACAAAATAATCATGAATAAATATCGTTGGTGATAAAACAATAATAAGAAAAATAGAACTATTTATGGAACTTAAATGAGTGTTTAAATGGATGGATCATTTGGTTGAAATAAAATCAACAATAACACCAACAGCGGCAGCAACAACAACTGTAATAATAACAAAAACACCAATAACAATAATAACAATTAAAGAAACATAAGAACGTTGTTCACACTAAACTACAACAAAAACATTCGTTCACTCTCTCACTCATTCCCCGATAAAAAACCACTTAAACACGTAATGTGGATGAATGAATAATAGAACCGAATTATAGAATAAATAGAGACGTATGTATGTTTGAATCAATGAAGGATTGAAAGAATGATATGAATGTAACTAAATGCAACAAATTTCAAGTGTCATTATTATTTAACTGATGTTTTGTTAGATTCTAAATGATGAGATAAAGTGGTGATGAGGAAGTGTCAAAAGTGGTAAAACGTGTATGACAACAATAGAAGTACTTTAGACATACATACGTACGCACATTAATAATCAAAATAAGGACCCATTTCTTACTGAGGTCGTCAGACAATTGGACTGACAAAAAACAACTGCGGATATTAGGAAATTCTTAGAGGGAAAAGGGTAGTTTTATAAAAGGTGTTACTTCCCAGTAACAACTTGGTAATGACTTTTACTTACACAAGAACTTAGTTTTTAATGACTACTACATACCGTCTGCATTACTTTTAAAAACTGTAATAATGACTTACATATAATCATATAGGTAAGTAGTGTTGTATGACAGTAGGAATGCGTAAAACAAAACAATTTTTTAACTCCCTATTTGTAATGACTTATTTAAGCACTTATTAAAAAATCTATTTATAGAAATTTATTTGAAGCTCCTTCCTGACAAAAGATTTACATTTAGGATATCGAGTGAATCATTCTTATCAGACGGTAAAACACTCGAAGTCTATGCTTATGGGTCCAAATATTCAATGGGCGTTGGTGGCGACTTCTTTATTCACGTTTTAATAAAGCGGTATATTTCAAGCTACAAAGTCATCGCAGCAACTCAAAGGTTGAAATATCGGCTATAAATTGGATCAGTATTCCAAATTTGTACAGGCAGTAAACCTGCTATACAATCTTTATCTGGTGCCTACACGACTTACAGACTAGTTCGCGAATGTCGGGAGTCTCTTGAGTTGATGAACCATATATGCTTGGAACTCCACTCTGTACCAAGTCACTCTAATGTACCTGTGAATATTAAAGCGGATGAACTGCCAATTAACTGATTCCCACCTTCACATATATTAACTCTCTAATTGGCACCCCATATTCGTGCAGCAAATTTTTAATCCAGCATGAACTTTCCAGATCTGATCAAACCAGACCTCTTGCTCGACATCAAGAATGATCTGGCCTCTTTATGATGAACAAAAGTCTATAGGTTAAGTGGAGATTTCCAGGATCAGACTACGTACATATAGTGGTGGCCATTTGGACAGGGTACTGCATTATAGGTGAGCATGCTAGAAGACTAAATCTTCCATATAATGATTACTGCAGGAGCTGTCACAACGAGTAGAGTAGACTGTTGAACACTTTATTTATCTCTTCCCTGCTTTGAGAACATTATGACCGAGTTTGTGAGCAGTCCGATACTGTTTATAACTTAAACACGTTTATTCTTGCCTCTGGTTAGTTCGAATCCATGTTGAACACGAACACAACGAGGAGAGGAGACTGATGAAAACTTTTTTATCTCTTCCCTGCTTTGACGAACATTATGACTGAGTTTGTGGGCAGTCCGATACTGTTTATAAATTAAACACATGTTGAACACGAACACAACAAGATGATGAGACTGTTGAACACTTTTTTTATCTCTTCCTGCTTTGAGAACATTAGGACTGAGCTTGTGGGTAGTTCGATACTGTTTATAACTGCCTCTGGTTGGTTAGAATCCATGTTGAACACGTAGGTGAGTCGGGGTAGAATCCGTTACAGAGTATCACAATAGTACCATAATGTGGACGCAAGTGAGTCGGTCACTGGCCGACTGCCTCATCAATCTAACCTAGATCCGATGTGCCAATTGATCAGAAACTTTATACTTAAAAACCATATTCTAAAAGCCTAACTCCTCAATAAATGTTTTGAGTTTCAAAGGAATCTGTCTTGGTGTTTAAAGGTTAAAAGATTGAAGGTAAGAAGACATTTCTATTATTTTCAAAACAAAAGTCAGCTGAAATTATTCCATTACTAATAAATTGGGATCTTTTGTGCATCCATTTTGTTCACCATTGAAGTTTAAGTTTAATATATTTTTGGAGCAAAGAGCCCCCAATGGTTGACAGTCACAAAGTAAGTATATGCTCATCCTGCAATTCACAGAATCGGCAAAGCATTATTTAAAATGTGCTGGTGATGTCTAAGTCGACTGCGTCCTGTAAATAGTTTGTCTGGTGTTGAACGATAATAACTTGAGATTTTCCCTTTGACACCATGACACTTAATTTTGGAACACCCTTTTTTAAAATCCAACAATTTTCTGCAGCTTTATTAACGAATGATAAATTGTCTTTGTATTGTGATGTATTCCTATAAAGCATCTAATGCCCTTATGATCCCTTTATTGTTGTTATTTTTAGAAAATTAAAGGCTAATAAAAATCATCATCATCACCAAATCCAAATTTCTATTATTTTGACGAGTGCGAATGTCATATGAAAATATTTATTCGCAAACATTTTGTCACTATTGTTAGGAATTGTTTTTGTATTTTTGTAGCAATAACAAAAGAATTGAGGAATAAGTGCCTCAATTGTTGCATGAAATGTATTTAAAATTATGATTTCAAGTGCTTTTTGCTAACACAACTGGTTGCTTCTTTAAATTTAATTTTGTGCAATTGTGTGTGAATTAAATTCTTAATTAATAAAAGGGAAAATCGTTATTTTTGAAATACATCTGGTTAATTTGTTTAGACATTTTAAAAAGGATGGTATTATATGGTCTAAATAATAAGAGAAAATAAGGGAAAAGCTGCCAAAATTCCTTTACAATTAATATAAATTGCTGCCAAGCAATTTGAAATTTCGATCGATAATAAATTTTGAACAGAGCCGTTCTTTCTTCTATTCTATTCCTATATGTCAGACTTCAAAGCCTATCTAATCTTTAGTCGATGTCAGTGACATTTTCTATTCTTATTCATTAAATAATAGGTCAAGCATTTTAGAGATTCCAGCAATTTCGGAATGTGGACGTGCGACTAGAGTAGACCTCAACACCCATAATATTCAATGTTGAGTTTTAACACACACACGCACATCAGATCATGTTGATGCACTAATTTTTATGGATGGCGCAAAACATTAGGGAATCAGAGTTCCTGATGCTCTGGACAAGATAAAGCAATGCGATGTCCGCTGAACTAATGTTGAAATTTTTTAGGAAATATGTACATCACTTCATATGACCTTCATACTCTTTACTCTAATATTCCATCAGAAATTTTTTATATCTATTGGACCACAATATACAAATTATATTGATACAGACCGACAAATTTATAACCCAGAGACTAAAGTAACTTTTTTAAACGATTGATGAAGATATGTATATCTAAGAAGAAATAAGAATACACTTTCAGATATCATATTGGCATACGCTTCAAATTTCAGGACGTCTTATCACGAATCCCAAATGTGATGGAGAAATTCTGAGGCCAGTTTCGGATTCGGCTTTAGAAAAGTATAATTTGGGATTTAGTTTTATCGATACTATAATGTAATGTGTTCCTTTTGCTCCCGATGCCTGCAGTGGATTACAAAAAGTTGCATGAAAAACCCGTTCTTCAGTTGTACTGTCTGAATGTGGAATAAGATCCCAGCACAGGTCATTCCTATCATTCCTTAATGAACATTCTCCATCATGGTGTGATTGCATTCCGGGGGAAAAGAGGTGCTACCAGTACCTTTAGTTTGCTGGGACTCTAAATTGATGGTGTAAAATGTATTCTCGGCCTTTCTTTGGAATGACTTGACCTAAAGAGAAACCTATATAATCTGGTACTAAGTGAATCGCTCACTCACAGGGCAGAGTTTCGGACTTTGTCTTGTAAAGGTTTAAACCGAAACTCGCGGAAAGAGAATATTGATTAAATGACTGATATGCGGTGATATTCGATGTTTTTGCCGAAAAAGACAAAAGATGCCCCATAGAGGAGTAACTGTGAGAATAAATAAAGGTAGAAATGAATAAAATACAGAATAAGTCGCTCTCCTCATACACAGACGGAAAAAGAAATATACACGCCTGGTACCAAATTGATACCAAACTGTTTATAATTTTTCAATACCATCCGTTGTCAAAATATATACATACGTACGACAACACTATGTAATGTTGACAACATTACAACAATTCGTTGTCAAAATCTAAATTTTTATACACATCCGTTGTCTAAATATTAACAAACGTTGTTTTTCAGATGAGCCTATATTTCATATTTTGTTCCCACTGTGCGTTATTGTGATTTATTGCAAAGTTTAAAAATATATAAAAATCCCATATATGTACATACTTATTTCATGCCTAACCGCAAACACATTAAGTTTGTTAGATATCTTTAGTATAAATATTAGTAATAAATTTATAATTTAAAACATATTAACAGAGAAGTCTATAGTCAAAGTATCTCACATTTTAACATGAAAGTATTTCAAATAATTTTTGCAATTTCTTGCATTATTGCCTTTGCCATAGCATCACCTGGAAATGTAAGTTTCTCAATAACTATTTAATAAAGATTTGCATAATTTGAATAATTTGTTATTTCACAGAATGTTATTAAAGGACATAATAATAAAAATAATAAACAGAATAACGTTGATGCTAGTGCCAGTTTGTACGGTTAAATTGATGTGATAATTGGAGAGAATCGGAATCGGAATATTGACTAAAAAAAACCAAAAAATGTTAAAATAAAGTTGTAGCAATAGCACAAAATGGTTATTATTTTAACTTAAGATTTCTAATTGGTTTTCCCATATATCATAATAACGACTATTGTAAAAAATAGTTTCATTTGATACCCCAGTCCAGAATCATAACATTGATTTAGTGCTACCATCAAATGCAATGTCGGTTTCATGATTCAATCATGATTAGATTAAGAAGCACTGCAAACTGAATGCTGTACATTCGTTGATCTTAAAATGTTAAGCGGATATCTTGAAAATCCCGTTAGTATTAAATAACTACTTTAAAAAGTCTCAACAGTTTCTGGAATTTTACTCAAATGACAACTCTGTAAAAAGGTTCCACCCAGTAACTGGGAATTTTCTCCACCAAATTCTAGTTCGTCAGACGTTGAGTTGTCCAAACGATTAAGCCAGATCAATCTATCTGAACATCAATACTTAAGTTTTAGAACCAATTAGAGAATTCTCATCAAGAGCAAAGAATGTGAAGGTTATTTTTAATGAATGTTATGATCAGAACATATTATATATTATTCAAGTGGTGACAGTGGACCAGATAAGTTCAGTTGCTTCTGTCGCCCATAAGGTGATAATATTCCTGTATGCGGCTAATGGAAACTGTTTAGTTCAATGGCAATCCATCGCCCTGTTTTCTGAGTTCGGGCAGATTGTGAAATGTAAAAAATCTTCCTTATTACGTTAGAGAGGCTTGATAGATGCAATACTGTCCACGAAGATATTAATGGTTAATGTTTGGAGATCTTTGATTATTCTCAAGAAGACTAACATTTCATCCCAGAAAACGGTACGTCGGAATTTTCCATTCAGTAGCCCTAACAATTTTTCAACCGCTAGGTTGGCGTAAAGGATTGTGTGTTCAACTCATTCTGCTCTGTTCGTATTTCGATTCGGAAGGCCCTGTAATGTATGTGTTAAAGGCAGCCATGCCAACAGAGTGGCCTGGGGTGTTGAGTTCCTAAATGCTGTATTAGCAAGATCTGCGAGGTATTCTGTTGGAACTAAGACAATTAGTTGTAAAAGGGAGAATAGAGGGAGTAGTATTTGTAGATATTTGATTTAAGTCTTTTTTCATGGTAAGTGGCATAATATCATTCCCAGACCATCAATATCGACTCCACATTCAGAGATGGTTATCAACTCTGAATGTGGAGTCGAAGGGAGGCAAAAATGGTGAATATAATGTTACCATTTCTCCGAATGGAAGGCTAGTAAGTCTCCAGTAGAGTTACCTAAACAAAAGTCATGCTGCTAGTGCTTTGGAACATACAGAACTCATAGGAGATAATTTGGCATTACGTTATCAATTTTCCAACATGCCGGAATTTGCCGATATTACATCTAGTCCAGGTCTTATTTTTGTTAAGATCCGTTAAAGCTCTTTTAACGGCTCGCGTTTGAAATAATATATTTTGCGTAGTTGCTTATATCGTTCGATCTCGGGCAGAATTTCATTGTTTTCCAGCAAGAATAACATGTGAGTATCGCAGCTAAAAGGGTAGCTTTATCAACCGGGTCTCGAATGTCGAAGTGCTTTACGTGAAAACCTACCATGTTGGCCTATCTCATGGTGGTCTTTTTCACGGTGGTCTGGGTGAGCTTTGTGACGACTCACCACCGCCCCATTGCGTTACACGCAGGCGGCAATTTACGTATATAGATATTTCGGTCCAATAAACGCGCACTTTGCTCAACTACTTGAGCTATCTAATCTCTGACCATTGCCGCCCCGTTGCTTAACTTCCGAGATGTAAAACATCACTTCCGTTTACAACCACGGAGTTGGAATGTCTCTGTTGAGTCGACAACATCACCTAGAGACGTAACCGGTAGACCGAAGTACGAATCTGTCAAATAAGCCGAGACTTTGTTCTTACTCACAGTGACACACTGTGGTAATTCTGGTATGAACAGAGTTTAATCTGAACATACCTGGACAAGGAAGGAAAATTCAATGGTATCATTTATATATGATACCTTTCATCCATCATTATTCAACCCTGCACACTTCTCATTCATCCAACACACTCATAAGAGAAATATATACGACACACTTATTTTAGGTATACGGGAGGGCGGGCCCGCATACCCCTATATTCATCCCGTACCGTATACAATTAACATCAACTCATTTCCAAGGCTTAGTCCCACAGTCATTTCTCTATGGGGTATCTGTTTTCTTCGGCACCAGCACCGAACTTATGCCGATATATTGACTGTACCGTACATCTGTCCTTTAACCGCCACTTACTCTCCCCGCGAATTTGGGTTTAAACCACAGCCACTACTTGGATCCCGAAGGAACCTCAACCAACTAACCAGCCTTAAATGGCGACGCCAAGAGGAGTTGTAAGCATTGTGAACATTCTATAGGGAAATCCAAAGTGCAGTTAGCAGTTAGATCTGTATTATAAGAGATCTGTATTTCGAATAAGGCAAAAACATCCGGCCGATGGAGATGAACGTGAGTTATTACTGAGAAGAAAGAAATCAATCCCAAACCAAGTACATTCCGGAAACCGATAGAAAAGGACTCATAATTACGATTCTAAAAGAAATTTCATAAATTTTCCATTTCCTATGCATAGTGTTTCTGTTAATGATTAGTGTTAAGTTCGACAAGAGATCTATAAGCACAAACTGGCTAATATACAATAAAGAAAATCAAGATTAAATTTTTTTAATAAAATTATTTTATTCATATTTTTTTCTATTCAAAATTCATTAAATTGTACCTATACTTATGGTCATATATAATACAAGAATTATTACTTAAAAATATTTTTTTTACATAGAATATTTACAATAAATACATTTACAAACATTATTTCAAAGAATTTTTAAGATTTAAATTTTTTTGTAAAACAGTAATTTTTTTGTTATCACATAAAGCGATTTAATTATATAGACGAAAACTTTCATCAGAAAACAGCAGCCTGTTTATTATGATTTAATTGAGCTAATTACAAAATGAACAATATTTTTTTGTTAAAAAAATTTTTCAAAAATTAAAAAAAAATACTGATTTGTTGCAGGAGCTGTTGTGGTTGTTTCCAAACAAAACAGGATGTGTTTAGGATAAACAATATAAACAAACACAAAATTAAAATAAATAAATACAATTTTGTAGCAATAGACTCTGTGTTTTAAAATTCATTCATTCATTCTTTGCAACCGGACGGATACAATTGTTTTAGTATGCTGCATATTGTCTGCTGTTAGTGCAACTTAGCACCATTACACTAAACATATGCAAGCATTTTTTGCCTCTTGATGTTGACCAAACTAACAGTTTGATTAGCCAACTGACTAGCATTCTTAATTAACAGCCTCATTGTCATCATTATCATCATCATCAATGTCATCAACAATACTGCATCAGTTTGTTTTGTTAATACTGTGTGTGTGTATGTGGTAAATGCTTGGAGTAGTAGTTCCTCATTACTCCCTCACATTTTTCCCTTTTAAACTCCACTTGTAGTTGCAAGTTTCTTTAGTGGTATTGCTTGTTGTTGTTGTTGCTATTGTTCTTTTAGTTGTTATAACATTGCTTTTTAAAGGGTGTGCTACTAATAAAACCCCCTACTTTCCTTGGCCAAAAACTAACTGACGGTCGATGGTGCAGAATTCTGTTGTGACTGTTGCTGTTGTTTGATTCTCTCTTTAGCCTCTTGTTGAGCCTTCTTAGAACGCTTCCATTTCATGCGACGATTTTGAAACCATATTTTGACTTGTGTCTCCGACAGCATTAGTCCACTGGCCACTTCGAAACGTTTAGGGCGGGATAGATATTTATTTTGTTTAAATTGTTTTTCCAATTCTAGCAGCTGCTGTGAGGTGAAGGCAGTACGAGGACGTCGAGTTTTACCCAAGATGGCGTGGTGAGGATAGGCCGCAAGTTCGGGTATACGATGATGTAACATACCGGCACGAGCGAGAAATTCGAATTGTAGATGTGAAGGCATAAAGTGTTGACCCATGGGAATCTGAAGAGTTAGAGAAGGAAAGAAATTTTTGATTAGTTTAATGGATTTGGTAAGCAAGATAGGGTATTTCTTAAGATTACTGCTCTAGTTTAGGAATGGGTTCTTATATTTTATATATGTATCTGAAACAGTAACGAAAGGTGCAATAGAGATGGTTCGGTGATGAAAGTTCAAGTTATTTTAAAGAATCACAACTACAAAATTAGAATTATTGTAAAATTTGAACTGATAAGGATAGCGGAACAAAATTTTGGACATATGTAGAACTAGATCTTTTGAAAATAATAACGTTACCAATTTTCACATTTTCTATATACAAATACCGAAATTTCTTAAAAAATAAAAATGTGTTCCAAAAAATTAGTTTCTTAATAAAAGTGCCCACTGTGATGTTATTTACTGTGGGATAGTAAAAAAAACTTCGGATATATTTAGGGACCATTAAGGTTTATATCAATATAGAGCTATTATGAGAATCGGTGTATTTGCGTTTTTAGAATATTGTACTCAAATCAAATTTTTTTCTTCAAAATTGACCTGGTGGAAGGGGCTGGTGGGGGCATTGCCCGTTTACATAAGCCAATTTCATATAACATGCTTATTCGGAAAGTTATCTTTCCGGATCATATAAAATTTGTATATAGTCCCTAAGACAATTTTTTCTATGAAAGAAAGTATAAAGGGACATTTTTGGAAAAAAACCTAAAAATATTGCAACTTTGAATGCGTCTAACTTTTTATAGGGCCAAGATATTAGTAGAGTAAATTATACTAAAACCGATTCAAAACATAGGTTCAAAATTTAAAAATCTTCCCATTATGTATTACTTAACTGAGCTCTATGTTTTGATTACAAAACCCGAATTACTTAGTTTTTTAATTTCAACTTACCGCTATGGGTTTTCCAGATGGATCCAGAGGGCGATGAAAAGCTGAACCGCCTGGAGCTAAAAGCTGATAAGGATGACCGCCGGCATATAGAGGAAAATCTTGTGGACGTATAGGACTATGGGGAGGTACT